GTCCTAAGTCCCAAACCACCAACCTTCGAAAGTGCTTTGGGGTCACAGCGACAGGAACATGGCCCATCACTAAGTGGGGAGCTGCTCTCTGAGAACCCCAGCTGTTGGTCCCACTGGGACAAATCAGGGTACCCTGAGCTCCTTTGACATCTGTTCACTCTTAAGTGTACTTTAGACCAACTCTGTCGAAATATCCATCTCGTCGAGTTTTAACGCATTTTACGATTTAAGAAATAAGCCTCCGCGCCACGGCGACTTGCTCTCTGCAGGTTCATCCCCACCATGGAAGGTGGTTACAGTGGAAAGCTCTACTCAGCTGGAAACTTCTTGGAACTTGGCTCAGGGGCGGGGACAATCTTATCAGGAAACTTTCCGTTTGGAATTAGAATAATAGGTGACATTGGAGGGCTGATAAGATCGATTCCCAAGCACTCGGGCTGTATATATATAAGGAGCAGCCACTGCCTGCTTCCGTACCCATTTCACCTACCTTTCCTTCTCTGGAGATTTGGGACCCAGGAAGAACCATGAAGTGGCTGCTGCTGCTCGGCTTGGTGGCTCTGTCTGAGTGCCTTATCTACAAGTGAGTCCGGGGAACACGCAGCACGAAGAACAGCTTCCAAAGGGCTATTTCCCTTTGCTGCCTGTCACGTTGCCTTTCTTCCCTCCTAGGTTTTCCTCCTTCCCTCGTACAACTCCTCTCTCTCTCTTTGACCATCTCAAATCTCCCCCCGGGCCTCTCTCTCTCTGCCCTTTTGGGGAGCCAGCACTGCCAACGCGGTTAAGAGCCCAGGCCCTCAAATGCGGCCTGGTTTTGGTTCCCAGCTCCATCGCTAGGCCGGATGGCTTTGAACGTCCACTTAACCCCTTTGTATGATTGTGCCCAAAATGGGAGCATCTCCCCTCTTGGCCCCCTTCCTCTACCCTCTCTTGGGCAACCTTCCTTTTCCTCATGGCTTCCACAGCACCCCGTGAGCAGACTCCTTGCCTAATCACTCTTCCTCCTCCTAACTGTCTGTTTGCAAACACTTGCTCGCCGCAGGGTCCCCCTCGTCAAAAAGAAGTCCTTGAGGAGGAACCTGATCGAGCATGGCCTGTTGGCAGACTACCTGAAGACACACAAACTTAATCCAGCCAGCAAGTACTTGAAGGAGGCCGCCTCCTTCACGGACACCGAGACCCTTGAGAACTACTTGGACGTGAGTGCATGAGCAGGCAGCAGAGGTGGCTCCAAGGACTTGGCCAGGAGGAGAGCGCGGGTCCCAGGAGTCTTGGAAAATGTACCAGGACTCTAAGCCTCCAGGGGTCTGCTCCCTGGATCTCAGAGACAGAGGGAAGGCAGGAAAACTCAGTCAGAGCTGCTGCTCTTATTCGTTCATTCATTCCTTCATTTGTTCATTCATTCATCCAGTGGTTACGTATACGGCACCTCGTTACGTGTCAGGCATGGTGCTGGGCCAGGGGAAGGAAGAGTGAACGAAACTGCGCACAGCCCCTGCCCTTATGGAGCTCAGTCTAGTAGGGAGAGACAGACAATAATCCGTGAGCCCCACTAAGCATGAGAAGTCCAGGTGGGCGAGGGCTATGGTGAAGGTGCCAGTGTGGCAGGTTGCAGGCGGGGACACCTCCCTGGAGCAATGAAGGAAGAGCCAGGGTTCCAAGAGAATGGGAGAGAGTCCCAGAGAGCAGGAAGGCTCGTTCCAGACCCTGGGACAGTGGGGAGCAGAATACATTTGAGGAAAGAAAGCCAGCGTGCATGGAGAGCAGAAAGGGAGGGAGGAAGGGCGGTGCGTGCACTGTGAGGCCTGAGGAGTCGGCGGGAGGCGCCGGGCAGAGTCTCTGATAAGAGTCTGACTCAACTTAACGGGTGGTCGACAAGATCAGATTGGAGTTACAGGAAGATCCATCTGACTCTTCTCTTTGGGATGCCACGGCCACGCCCCGCCCTTTGGTAAAAACCGTGTGTCCCCTGTGCAAATGGCACAGGGCCAAGGGGACAAAGCGATGTCACCTGTCACTAAGAGCTCAGCCTTTGAAATCTGCAAGACCTGGTCCAAATCTAGGCTCTAATGCTTCCAAGCCATGTAACCTTGGGCGAATCATTTACTTTCTCTGAGTGAGCCTCAGTTTCCTAGTCTGTAAATCAGAACCACCGATATCTACCATCAGAGGGCTGTTACGAGCAATGAATGCAATTATGTCTTTTGGAGCACTTAGCACAAGGCCTGTCCTCTGGTAAGAGCTTGGTAAAGTTAGCCCATTTATTCACTTAAATATTGATGAAGCACCTACTGTGTGCCAGGGGCTATGCAAGGAACTGGGGAAACGATAGTGAATAAGCAAAGTTCCTGGAGCTTGTATTCTAGAGAAGGCAGGTAAGAGACAAATGGGTACGTAAGAGAATTTCGGAGAACGACAAGTGGCACAAAGAAAAATTAAATAATTAGAGTAAGGGGAAGAAGAAGAAAGAGCGAGGGGCAAACTTAGATAAAGTCATCAGGGAAGGCCTCTTGGTAGAGGCGACGTTTGACCAGAGCTCTGAGTGACT